TTTTTTCCAGTAGCCTGCTTAATGATGTTGTATTTGACCTCTGCTCTTATCATCGGGGGGGTGAGCTAGAAGCTGACAAGGACGATTGCGATTTTTATTTTTTATTTTTTATTTTTTTGGGTTCGTTTATTCTTTGAAAGACTGTAAAGCTAACTAATTGTCTTAGTTCCAAACACCAGTCTTGTCTTGTCGATGATGGGAGTTGCTTGCAAGTGTTTCCAAGCCGTGTTCATCCACCTTCATCCAAGTGATAGTGCCGGGGTTGGTGCTAGAGCCAGCCAGTGTTTAGGAGGCCTGTGATCTGTTTGTCTTTGTATATAGTATATACCTTCTCTGAGACTCTGCTGAAGGTTCGCGGTTTGTGGCCTCCTGCCGAAATGCTATGTTCGAAATCACTTGATGAATCAAGTGACCAATTGCATCTCGAAAATCAACGTTCGAGATTGCTCGATATGAATATGGTGCAGCTAAGTCGTGTGGGACTTGGTCCTGTGTGGGACTTGGTCCTGTGTGGGACTTGGTCCTATGTGGGACTTGGTCGTGTGTGGGACCGTCCTGTGTGGGACTTGGTCCTATGTGGGACTTGGTCGTGTGTGGGACTTGTGCAAGTGAAGGGCTACTAAGTAGAGCTTCACATCTTGATAGCTTACGGAGGCAAAGGGAGCCCACTAAATCGCGCTAACTTATCGTCATTTGTCGTCGTATCGCAACTTATACGTAGTTCTTTCAGTTACGTGATCTTATCTGAAATTATTTTGGGATGGAGAAGGTTTGGAAATTGGAACGCGACTCCTATGAGCTGAAGGTTTGGATCCAAAACTTTGAGGCTGATGGGTGAGAACTTAGAATTAGATAAACTTCAAATGAAGCTGATTACGGAAGTAGATAAACTTCAAATGAAGATGACGAAGCCAATTCATGTCATGAATAGAAGGCAAAAGCCAAGACCATCGAATCATCGATGTGTCCTTGATAAGAAACAACGCAACGCTTGGGCCTGCAAAGGCCACAGCACTTTGATGGCCCCCCGGTGACTGCATCATTAGCATTGAAGGAGTGGAGCGGGAGAGGTGGAGGGAGGGAGGGACGGAGGAGGAGGAGGCGGAGGAGGAGGACGAGGACGAGGACGAGGACGAGGACGAGGACGAGGACGAGGACAAGGCCGAGGAGAAGACTTAGTCATGATGGTGGAGGGAAGACGCGTGGAAGCCACTCTTTGTGACGAGCGCCAGAAAGGCTCGGATCTTATCACACGCCCGGATGAGGGGTGGAGCATACATTGCAAAGGTGTTAGAGAGATAGAAAGACGAAGAGGGGGGGGGGAGAGGAGGAGGAGGAGGAGGAGGAGGAGGAGGAGGAGGAGGAGGAGAAGTGTTGATGCTTGAGGAGTCAACGAGTTTGAAGCTCCTCTTTGTCACAGTGAAAACACAAGAAAGTCTCTGATCGTATCACAGATGGTTAAGGACCGTGCATAGATTGCGGAAGTGTTAAGAGGAAGAGGAAGAAAAAGACGGAGAAGGCAAAGAAGAAGAACGAGAGCAAACAGAACCCTTGAGATCCAGAACAACGTTTCCTTCAGATTTCCGGTTTTGCCTAGTTGTTGTCGGCTTTCGACATTAAAAATGTATTCTTTCGCTTTTTGAGCTTCTTGATCATTCCTTCTTCAATTTCCTTTCCGAAGTTTCCTGTGAATCTGCTGCTTTTTTTCACAGTCAATGAGCTGCATTGGACTTCGCAGTAGAATTTCTCAATCGGCAAACGATATGGTAAAAAATCATTTAACCACCGTAAACAGCAGGTAACTGCAGGAAAGTTGTAGGTCAACCGCGGCTGGAACACAACAGACTGCAAGTATTAGAGTGCTGTGAGCTGCAACTAACTACAGTTAACCTGCTGTGAACTGCAACTTACTACGGTTAACCTACTCCCGCACGCAGGAACCGACTCCGCATCACATAAGATGACAAGAAGTACCAGACTTTACGTTTCGAGGCGAGGACAACTGCCAAAATTGTGATCGTGTGCAAGATCCGTCACCCCTCTCTGCGCATCAGCAACTGGCAAACCAACCAACCAACCAACCTTTCGATGGTGTCACACTACATCAGAGACCTCTTCATCACCACTACCTCTCTGTCAAGAGCCTCCTCCTGCTCCTCCTCTTTCTGCTCCTCCTCCTCCTCCTAATCATCATCATCATTGTCATCGTCATCATTGGCGCCGTCGTCGTTTGCGTTTGTCATCATCATCATTGTCATTGCCAAGGTCACCATCTTTCTGAAGTCGGAAACAACCTTTCGTCAAGATGGCGACGGCTTCAGCTGCATTCAAGTCCCGCGAGGACCACAGGAAACAGATGGAACTGGAAGAGGCCCGGAAAGCGGGGCTAGCACCAGCCGAACTCGATGAGGATGGCAGGGAGATCAACCCTCACATCCCACAGTACATGTCCTCTGCTCCTTGGTACCTTAATGCACAAAGACCTAGTCTAAAACACCAGCGGAAGTGGAAGTCCGATCCCAATTACACGAAAGACTGGTATGACCGAGGAGCGAAAACGTTTAAAGCTGAGAAATTCCGCAAAGGGGCATGCACGAACTGCGGGGCCATGACCCATACTGCCAAGCTGTGCATGGAGAGGCCTAGAAAGATTGGTGCCAGGTGGACGAATACCCACATAGCAGCCGACGAGAAGATAGAAGTGTTTGAACTCGATTACGACGGAAAGAGAGATCGATGGAATGGCTATGATGCGTCCACGTACGGTCGAGTGATCGATACCTTCATGAAGCGCGAAGAGGCGAGGCAAAGATACGTCAAGGAGCAGGAACTGAAGAAGAAGTTCTCCTCGAACCCGAGTACCACGGCGACTCCTTCACTTGCTTCCGCGGTTTCTGGAGGGGGCTCCAACACAACATCGAGCCCGAACAAGAGTGGCAGCAGCAACTGCAGCGGAGGGGTTGACATCAGCGTTAGTGCTGCTGCTCAGAGGGTGGGAGCAGCAACTGCAGCAGTAGTAGGGTCATCCTTAACAGACGACAGGAAGGAGCTGGTTAAGCGGGTGGCCGGGATTGACCTGGATGAAGATAGCAGTGATAGTGACCAAGAGGTGATGCAGGACGAGGCTCGTGTCGACGAAAGCAAGCAGATGGACTTCGCCAAAGTGGAGAAGAGGGTTCGAACCACGGGTGGCGGTAGCACCGGCACAGTTCGGAATCTGCGAATCCGAGAAGACACCGCCAAGTACCTCATCAACTTGGATGTGCATTCGGCTCATTACGACCCGAAGACGAGGTCGATGAGAGAAGATCCTAACCCCGACGGCGATCCGAACGAGAAGTTCTACGCCGGCGACAACGTTTATCGCAACAACGGTCAAGCATTGGAGTTCAAGCGACTGAACGTCCACGCTTGGGAGGCATTCGAGAAGGGACAGGACATCCATTTGCAAGGCGCACCTTCGCAGGCCGAGCTGTTGTTCAAAGAATTCAATGTCAAGAAAGAGAAGCTTAAACAGCTAACAAAGAAGTCCATTCTTGAAAGATACGGCAATGCCGCGGACAACGATCGGCTCCCCGATGCATTGCTTCTTGGACAGACCGAGCGGTGTACAGAATACGACCGTGCCGGTCGTGTCATCAAGGGCCAGGACAAGTCTATTCCCAAGAGCAAGTATGAGGAGGATGTGCTAATCAACAACCACACAACAGTATGGGGATCTTGGTGGTGCCCGTCCAAAGGTTGGGGTTACAAGTGCTGCAAGCAGACGTACCGAAACAGCTACTGCACGGGGCAGGCAGGCTTAGCGCTCGCAGAATCGGCCAACAACAACTACGTTCCTGCTTCCACAACTAACCAGATTTCACACCTAACACAGACCAAGGACGCCACGCTCGCTAATCATCACTCGAGTTCCGCGGTTCCGACTCTTGCGGCCAATCGCGGCAATGGCAGTATCGTCGGAGGCTCTAGCAAAAGCTTGAGGCCACCACCAGAGCAATGCACCGGCAACATCAGCCAACCTCACTCTACCCACGGGGACGCTGACACCATCACCGTCACCATGCCAACCACTCTTCCATCTTCCGAGAAGAGAGACGATGAGGACAACATCAACGACAACGGCGATAACTTGAAGATCAGGGGTCCGAACCACAGTTACAACCAAGGAGACGACCAGTCCACCAGGTCACAGACTCAGTGTGGACGTTGCGGAGTGGGTAATCCATGCGATCAGGATCCTGTCGTACTAGCCGAGTGCGAGTTCGTACCACCACGAGCGGCAATAGAGTCTAGTACTAACGCCAAATTTGACAACCGAAAACTCCGGCAGGCACTTCAGGAGGAAGAGGAGAGAGAAAGGTTTACTCAGAAAGATGAGAGAAAGAGGAAATACAATGCTAGTAGCTATGGCCATTGCGACCAAGACTCGGTTTCCGCAGAGCAGATGGAGGCTTATCGGCTGAAGAAAATACACAATGAAGATCCAATGAAGAATTTTCTAAGTTCTGGAAGGGGGACAGAGGACTGACAGCTTGGGTTCACTGATAGGTCCCAAGGGGGGTGGAAAATTAAGAACCCTGAAATGCCCCCCCACTGATAGATGCAAGAGGGTGAAAAAAAACAACCCCCCCACTGATTAATGCAAAAGAGAGGGGGGGGGGGGGGGGGGGGGGGAAAAATCCAAAAGGGGATGATAACTCCAAAAGGGGATGAAAACCCCTGAATTGGCCTCTGAGAAATCCAAGGGTTGAAATTTTGAAAACCCTGGATGGATTTTTTTTTTTTTTTTTCCTTCCATGCAACAAATTGAGTTGTTATAATTTGTCGAATCTTGATCCCCATCGCAGAGTACACGGGGACGACTGGCTACGTATTTCTCTTTCAGCGCCTCAGTCTCTACAGACTGCGCTAATTGTCAGTTGGCAACTGAGACCTTCAATCCTAACCCCTAACCCCTAAAACCCTAAAACCCTAACCCCTAACCCCTAACCCCTAAACCCCTAAATGGCTATATCCTCTTTAGAATCCAAAGCAGGGGGCCTGCAATGGCTGCACTTACACTCTTGTGTCCCTACACCGACGTCAGCCTGCCAAGCGGTTGGTCGTGTGTTCGAGTCTTGTACTATTCAACATGCAAATGCTTTCACACATTAACCGCCGCGGAGTAGTACACTACGATAGTGTGTCTGCATAGGGGATGAGTGTGGTTGGGTATACCGTCTCGCAGCATCTACGTGCTAAGGTGGGGTGGCATGAGGTGAATTACTCATGTTGGGCCTTCACTTTCACCCCAGCCCACTTAGCCTTAAAAAAAAAAAAAAAAAAAAAAAAAAAAAAAAAAAAAAGGCTTATGGTTAGGTAGTTAGCTTGCTAAGCCGTCGGTTGTGTGTTCGAGTCTTGTATTCGACATCCACATGTGGTGCTCTGACAAGGGTATGCAAATCTCTGTTTTCTGACAGATGCATGGACCCACCACCCTTGTTTAGAAGAGGGGCTGCACTTGTGGTGGGACACTGGGAGGGACTGGGTCATCGCCAGGGGTTTCTTCTCGTGAGAACTCAACTTATGCTGGTTCAAGGCATACAAAATGGAAGGTCTCTGCAAGCAAGGTTATGGGACGCTGGGCCCGTTTCCCAGCACGTGCTGCTCCCCGCAATTAGATTGGAGTTTTCGTTCCCCCCCCCCCCCCCCCCAAAAAAAAAAAAAAAAAGAAGAAGAAGAAGAAGAAGAAGAAGATTACCTTGTCCCAGGAAGGGTCCCCGCCTATAGATTGGAGTCGTCCACCCAGCAGGTGACGCTCCCCGCCTATCTATAGATTGGAGTCGTCCAACCAGATACCTCAATGATCGTGATGGTGGTTCTCTTACCACACAGTGTTGCAGGTCTTCACAGGATGTCTTAAAGACTTGAACCCGGGAGGCCCTGAAACCTAAAAACGGGCAAAAAAAAAAAAAAAAAAAAAACGGCCAAAACGTCTGAGGGCATACTCACACTACCACTTTTTAGGCGCAGCTCTGGACGCGATTGCGATCAGATGCATTTCTGCCCGCCCTGCGTGTATCTTACGGTCAGGAAAGTGCAGCCAAGCGGAGAAAAAATAACAGAACAGAGTTTTTAAAGCATTTTTCAAGTTTTTTTCCTTTTTTTTTTTTGCTTGGGGGTTGGAGAAGGGAACCGACAGAGATAGCGCACGCTGTCTTTTTTCTTTTTTGCTTTTTCCCACAGGATTTGTGGACCACACGATCTCTAAAAGCAAAGGAACCAAAAAAAAAAAAAAAAAAAAAAAAAAAAAAAAAAAAAAAAAAAGCGAAGGACCAAGGCCTCTTGGTGATGTAGGGCAACTCCCCACCACTTTCGAAATGTGCAAAATAAGAATGAAGTTTATGAACTTCCTGCTAGAACATGGCCAAATGCACCCACCACACTTTTGCAATTTTCACATTTTGAGAGGGGTGTGGCGAGGCCTGAAATTTGGCTTGGGCCCAGGGCCCTGTTAATAAAAGTGAAGTCAGGTTTGTTCGGCTATTAAACCACCAGTACTTGGGCGACGCGTAGCGTTCGAATCGACAGCCCGCGCTGCTTCGAGATGTGGGCGGCCGGCACGGCGCGCAGTGCCCAAGTACTGGTGGTTTAAGCATATAGGTATGGGGAGGCAAGCACCGAAAGAGGGCCGGTATTTTGCGAGCCATCTAGCTCTTTTTTTTTTTAGCTCGTATTGATAACAATACGAATGTTCGGTCACAGATACCATAGCATGGGCTAAGGGCCAGATCCCATTGGCAAGGACGATTGGAACAAGTGTCTGAATCTGGATCTGGACGTGTTCCAAGCAGAGATGCAGAGAAGCAGATCAATCACAGTTTTCTGCACCTCGCCCACAAACACGTCCAGATTCCGACACTCTTTCCAATCGTCCTAGCCTCACTCACGAGTCCCAGGTGAACGACTTCCCCTCTTGTTTTGTCGAGAGAGTGCTGTGTCGATTCTCCAAGCGACAAGATCGCATCTTGTCCTTTTTTTTTTTTAAGGGGGTAAGAGCAACCCCCTTCCCTAGCAGGGTTTTTTTTTTTTTTTCCGAGTTGCTCCGGTCTATTGGTGAGGAGCTGCACCTGCTGGAAAACGGTTCCAGCGTCCCTTTTTTTTTTTTTTTTTTTCCAGCGTCCCATTTTACATTGGAGGAGAATGTCACTGTCGTGTGGCTGTCAGCATCATCAGTGTTTTTTTTTTGTTTTTTTTTTGAGACCGGAATGCAAACGTCCGGTCTGGAAGGTCCGGATCTGGCAAATTTCGAGAAAAAAAAAAAAAAAAAAAAACGGTCCAGGACCCTTCCCCATTGAGGAGCCAAGCCCCCAAAATTGTTTTGGGGGTTTTTCAGGCCCGTTTTTGTTTTTTTGGGGGGTCCGGACATGCTCTCTCTCTATAGTAATTTATTAGACAACCCCAATTTTTTAATTATTAATAATTCATTACCTTTTATTAGTTTTTAAAGTCTTTTTTTAAGCTTTTTATAGTTTTTGACTTTTAACTCAAGTTTGGTTAGGAGTTCTGACATGACTCTGAGGCAAAAGTGGTTTGCATTGTTATTCTGCATAACATACTGTTTTTTCAGATTTTTTATTTTTATTTTTTTTAATGGTCCGGACATTTCCGGACCTGTCCAGACTTCCGGACCGTCTGGATCCCCTCATGTCCGGAGGTCCGGAAATGTCCGGAAACTACCGGACACGGGTCCGGTTCCATGTCCGGAAATGTCCGGGTCCGGGTCCGGCGTAGCCATGGTTTTTTTTTTTTTTTTTTTTCTTTTTTTTTTTTTTCGCCGAATGCTGAGATAACAACGGCTGTTTTGCTAACTAATGCATGAATTTCTTGAAATACCTCACAGGGAAAAAACAAAACACGAAAAGGTAATTTGAGACCACCTCTGGGGCGTGGTCCCACTAGCAAAGAGGATCGGATAGAATGCCTGAATCTGGACGGGTTTACGGAGATGTGCAGGAAATTGAGATTGAACTGCTTTTCTGCATCTCTGATTAAAACACATCCAGATTCAGGAGCTCGATCCTATCCTTTTTGCTAGTGGGATCTCGGCCCTGGAGGTGGTCTCAGAAAAAAAAAGGGTCCTCCCGCGACCACACAGGCTGCTGACAAAAGGGTCACCAAAAAGTGCATTTGGGTAGCGGGCCTCTCCAATTTCACCTGAAAACTCCCTCAAAATTTGGAATTTAAGGTCATCATGTCCCCGTGTGAGTATGCGCATAGTGCTTGTAATTGTCCTGACTAGTTTGCTGACTTTGCTCCTTGTTTTTTTCTGTTTTTTTTTTTTTAATTCGCTGTTTTGTCGACTGATTCGAAGGTTGCGCTTTTAGAGTGATAGGTAGATTACCGGAGGGGGTGCTCATATCACCCCTCCTAGCACAGCAGCGTGGCTTAAAAAAAAAAAAAAAAAAAAAAAAAGATTACCGGAGTTCACTTTCATTTTTCGCATGATAGGGGACAGCGTACGTTTGGTGAATAATCTACTTGCTAGTGTTCTCGTATGCGATCAGTACGACTCTGGTCTGCAGTGCGATCGTGTTCGCGTGGGATGCCTCAGCGGATTGTTTGTCGGGACAGGGATTCTAGAAGATGTATCTGGACTGCTGGGTCGTTCGGGTCGCAAACCCGGTTAGCCATCTGAACTGGGTTTTCGAATCTGCGGGCTTTGCTACGGGAAGTCGGTGAGAGGTATCGAACTGCTGCACCGCATGTGTTTTTCGCCATTGTAGCCCTGTACGCTCGTGCGCTGTTGTAGTTTGGGTACTGCCCTGCCCTGTTTCCAGTGTCGAAAGGTCTGGGGGTCGAACCCGGGCACTTTGAGACAATACCTTTTGGCCTTTTGTTCCTTGGTTACCTGTCTTTTTTTTTTTTTTTTTTTTTTTTTTTGAGTCCAGGATGTTGTAGAGGCTAATTACCAGGCACACAGGGATCACGGGGAGTGTCTTCCGGAAACCTTTTTAACTTTTGTGTTGTTTACTTCATGGGCCTGTTGGACGGGTTATAGGGGACCAGAGTGTGGAGCTGGGACGTTCCCAGGTAGAATCGGTACACTGCGTTAGGACAGCGTCGGTCATTTGTGTGGCGCAGACTAGGACTACAAGAACAATGATTTCGTAGCCTAGCGTTTTTTTCGGGTCCAACGGCGCTCAAACTGCGGTCATTTCCGGAGATGCCTGCGGGTTAACCGCGGAGGTGCGAGAGAGGAACGTTGGGCAGAAGTGACGAGGGGGGGGCGTTGGGGGGAGGAGGACCACCGCCGACCGCGTGGAGGCGATCGAAACCGGTCGGGGTACCAAGACCCACCAGCGTATGCCAATCATCGTGCATGTTGAGCTTTGTTGCAATTTGTACTTTATTTTTCTCGTTTATGAACAGAGCGTGTATGATCTCACCTGTTTGCATGTTGACTCCTCTTTTTTTTTTTTTTTTTTCACTCCTCATCCATCATCAGAATGTAATGCAGAATGCCTGCCTTCTATAACCAAAAAAAAAAAAAAAAAAAAAAAAAAAAAAAAAAGCTGCCTTTTTGTTTTTACCAAATTTGTGTTAAGCCACTAGTAGCTTTGGCGTCCGGTTTCGACAAGTTCTTGCCAGCTCCCGAACTTTCAGGAGGCCGAGCCCGACGTTGATCAATCTGATCGGCGGCCGTCGTTTCGTTTCGGCCTCCTGAAAGGTTGGAGGCCGAGTATTTTCGAACCGACAAAGGTACTAGTGGTTTAAAGAAAGGGAAAAAAAAGGGGGGGGGAGAAAAGGGGGGGGGAGAAAAGGGGGGGGAAATGTACACATGTTGTACTTCGTTGCAATTTGTACTTGAGAGTTTTCTCGTGCGAACAGAGCGTGTATGATCTCACCTGTTTGCATGACATTGTTCACTCAGAATCCATCATTAGTCTAATCTGGAATAGCTGCCTTCTATAACACCCCCCCCCCAAAAAAAAAAAAAAAAAAAAAAACTTGCCTTTTTGTTTTGAGTACTTTTTACCTAGGCTACCAGCCGGGCCGCCCGGGTCACCCTATTTTTCCAGACGGCCCGGCCATGCAAGGACCAGGGAAGGTCCTAGCAAAAATAGAAAAACAAAAACAAAAACAAATAATCAAAAAAATCCGGAAAAAAAACCTATGTTATGCAAAAAAATAAACTGAACAACTTTTGCCTCAGGGTCACAGCGAAATTCTTTGCCAATTTTAAAATATTAATTTTTTTTCTTTTTTTCTTTTCTTTTTTTTGGGACCGGCCGGGCAAGTGGCCCCGGGCCACTCTGGTAGCCTAGCTTTTTACCAAATTTTTGTGTTTAAAAAAAAGGCGATAAACAGATTTCTACACGGCCGAGGCCAATGTTCCGGCGTTTCAATCCGCCACTACTTCCGAGGCACCTTTCTCCGCGGCTGCAAATGCCCTGCGCACCAAGATAAAAACGAACCAGCGCAGGCCTCCTTGCGCCTGTGCCGCCAGCCATTTTCCTGCCGCCAGCTGAGCCCCGAACGTTGCAGCGGCATGCGAGCTGCGACTCTGAAAACATAGGTGAGAAATGTAATGGTTGTTCACATATCCAGAACCTTTTTTATTTCTTCTTTTTCTTCTTCTTCTTCTTCTTCTTCTTCTTCTTCTTCTTCTTTAAAGAGTTGAGAACTTTTTTTTCTTCTTCTTCTTTTTTTTTTTTTTCAGAGTTGAGATTTTTTTTTTTTCTTCTTTAAAAAAAAAAAAAAAAAGAGTTGATAACTTGCAAGAGGTTGCGAGAGCAGGAAGAGCACCCTACCTGATGATTTGTGAAGAAGAAGGGGGAAAAAAAAAGAAGGAAAGAAGAAGAAGAAGAAGAAGAAGAAGAAGAAGACGAGAAAGAAGAAGAAGGAAGAAAGAAGAAGTACCGCTAGCACTGCAGGGGTGGTTAAAAAAAAAAAAAAAAAAAAAAAAAAAAAAAAAAAAAAAAAAAAAAAAAAAAAAAAAAAAAAAAAAAAGAAAGAAAGAAGAAGAAGAAGAAGAAGAAGAAGAATGCAAGAGGAGGAGACGAGGCGCAGAATAGAATAACTGCCCTTTTTTGTTATTAACAAAAAAAAAAAAAGCACAAGTACCTTTGCCATGTGGGAAAAGAGCGGGCCTCCGGTTGGGCTCCAAATTTTCCGGAGAGGGAAACGAAATGACGGCCGGCGAGCAGATTTATAAATGGCAGCCATCGTCGGGCCCGGCCTCCGAATGTCTAGGAGTTTGGGAAAACTAACACTTTTCCCTCTTTTCCCAACACTGGTGGAGGTAGTACGGTCTTCACCTGAATAGAACGCCCGGTCATTATCACTGCATCTAGACTTAAATTTCGACCAAATACAGATATAAATTGTATAATGACCGGGCGTTCTATTCTATTCGAGTAAAGACGGTAGTGGTTTAACCCAAAAGCTGATATCGTCCTCGCCTTTACCGATTAAGAACTATTGCCCTTCATCTTTCATCTTTCCTATAATGGAATATAAGGTGCCATACTTCCTAATGGGGAAATGATGATGGGGGTGGGGGGCACTAATCAATACCTTCCACACCTTTCCCCATCAGGAAGTATTGCCCTTTTTCTTTTTTTTTTCACCCTTCCTAATGGAATAATGGGCAATACTTCCTAATGGGGAAATGATGACGCAGTGGTGCCATGTTTAGTTAAGCCTCTTCCTCACCTTTCCCCATTAGGAAGTATTGGCCTTTTTTTTTTTTTTTTTTTTTTTTTCATCCGTCCTAAATGGAATAATTGGACAATATTTCCTAACAAAGGAAAGTGAAGAAGATACCAAGCAGGTGGGAAGGAAGGATGGAAGGATTATTGCAAGTTGCAAATATTGCCATTATTATTATTTATTAAAATTTTCTTAATTATTAAGTTAATTAACCTTTTTTTTTTTTCCATGTATTTACTATTTACTATTTATCCTTCCTATTACCCACCATCTAGATGT